ATATATATATATATATATATATATATATATATATATTGAAATTTATTCAATATCGTTTTTTTCATCAGTTTTTTTTCTCAGAATTGCGAGTTTATATTTAATAATTCAGATGGTTTTTTTCCTGATAATTCAGATTTTCTATCTCATAATTTAAACTTTTTTTTGTCAAGATTGAGTTTATCTCATAATTCCCCCCCCCCCAGAATTGCATGTTTAGATCTCATAATTTGAACTTTTTTCTCAGAATTGTGACTTTATATCTCAAATCAGACTTTCCTCAGAATATCTCAATTATGACTTTTTTTATTCTCAGAATTGAGAGTTTATATCTAAATTTGGACTTTTCTCAGAGTTTTGCATTTACATCTCGCATTTCTGTTGTTTGTTTCTGCCACGTAATAAAAAATGGGAAATTGCAGCTTTTTATCTCACAATTCTGACTTTTGCTTCATGCAACTGCGAGTTTATATCTCACAAGACTTCTTCAGATTTTTTTCCACAAAAAGTCTGAATTGTGACATATAATCTTATAATTGTGAGAAAAAAAGTTGCAATTATTTTTTTTACTTCATGGTGGCAACAAGCTTTCATACAAACCACAACTAAAACGCATGGGGGGAAAAATCACAACATCAAATCTAGAAAATTTTGAGTTTATTTACAATTTACAAACAGGAAAAATTTCAGCATTTGTTTGATTGCTTCCTTCAGCACCCACACAATGGCACAGCAACTAGAAGCTCACACAGTATAGACACACGTGTGAGGAGCGGATTAAGACTTGAACTTGAATCATCAAACCCACTTATTATTTGCATTGGTCATAAATTATTACTCAGAATGTTATCAGTGGCATTTTATTTTATTCTGTAATCATGCAAACTTCTTAACCCCCGTAAGACTTTGCATTGCCAGTCCAGTATATGAACATTATAACAGCGATGAACACATTGAGTTTTCATGAGACGCGCTGATGGATCTGCTGCTATCAGATTTTGATACTTACTCAAACTTCAAAAAAATGTAAAAGTAACAGCTCAAAACAATCTATATGTGTGTGTTTTCGGTTAAGGCACATGATCCTGCAAGGACACACACCACAAAATCATGTGCAGAACAGAATTATTCTGCATGAATATTCATCCAGTACATCCTAAAGTGAATCTGAACAGCGTGCCAAAATGTTTAAAAAAAAAGTCGCATAACATTCAGCAAATCCAACATCTTAGTATCTGTTGCATCTTACTGATTTAGCAAATGAGATTTCTGCACATCCATGAGGCGTTAGTTTGTGAAGTCATTTAGAATAAAATTATATTCTATGCAACTACAAAAAACAACAACAAAGGTTTTGTAATGCTAACAGTGTTACTATTTACACTACAATAAGATTGTATATGCTAACATTAGTTAATACTATCATTAACAATAAACAATAGCATTTAATAATCTCAGGGTTATTTCTACATACACTAATACATTTTAACAGTTAAGATAATAATAAACATTAACAGTAGTTATTGCATTTTGAATGAATAATGAACAGTGTATTTATAAATTAACATTTATTCATTTATATTCGTAATTATATAATTCATTAATAAATGAATAAATTCTATACAATACAGTTGTTAATTTTTAGTTTATGATATGTTAACGTATAGAACCTTACTGTAGTGTGTTGCAGGTTTAAAGGAATATTTTACCCAAAAAATTTGCTGGAAATATACACACTCTCAGGCCGTCCGAGATTAGGATGAGTTTGTGTCTTCATCAGATTTGGAGAAATGTAGCATCGCATCACTTGCTCTGCGGTGAATGGGTGCCGTCAGAATGAGAGCTGATAAAAACATCACAATAATCCACAGCACTCGTCCATCAGTTAACATCTGGAGAAGACAAAAGCTGAGACAAATCCAGCATTAAGACGTTTTTAACTCAAACACGAGTCTATAATCCATAATAACTCTTCCTCCAGTGAGAAAGTGTTCTGGTGTGAATCAGGAGAGAAATCTGCACAGATCAAGCAGTGTTTAAACAGCTCTAAACACATATGTGGCTGGGTTTGGATGTGAGAGACGACAGGAGATGGACTTTTTCACCGGAGAAAGAGTTATTATGAATTATTTAAAACGGAAGCAACAGTTTGAAATTAAAAATGTCTTAATGACGGATTTGTTTCTTACAAACACGCAGCTTTTTGCTTCAGAAATATTAACTGATGGACTGGAGTGGTGTGGATTGTTTTTATCAGCTCTCATTCTGACGGCACCCATTCACTGCAGAGCAAGTGATGCAATACTACATTTCTCCAGATCTGATGAAGAAATAAACTCATCCTAATCTTGCATGACCTGAGGGTGAGCACATTTTCAGCAAATTTACAGTAAATTTTTGGATGAACTATCCCCCCCCCAAAAAAAGAATAAAGAAAGAAAGTAAAAAAGGGGGAGAAATCTTTTAATACTAGCACACAAATATCACCCCAAACTTTGAGTAAGTAACAGAATTCTGATAAACAAATACTGTATACACATTTCAGTCCCACTGGGACGCTGTATTTACAGATATAAGTGTCTTTATTTAAATTGTAACTGATGATTATTCAGATGCATAATAAATCAAACATTTCTATGCTAATTTCGAAAACAACTCAAAGGCAGCAGTCACACAATGAACTCCGCAAATGTTTCTGCAGGCTGAAGTGTGTGGTACCTGTGTGTAACATACGGCCTGTACACGGTTTGCTGGTTTTGCGCTCGCTGACGTCAGACGAGGTTGAAGCCCTGGTTGTGTTCGATGGCCTGCAGCAGTTTCTCTTTGAGTGTCTCCTTATTAGTGTACTTGGGCAGATCCAGCAGGTTGAAGCATGTGTGCGCTACAGGGAAATATTGCTCTCCGCCACCGGTGGGCTGGATCACTAACGCCAGGCTCTTCATGCCCAGGATGGGGATTCGGTCGCTGCCCGTGAGGAACACTAGTGTAAGTGACAGAAAGACGGCATTAAAATACATTCACATTCTGAGCAGCATAACCTTGCAGAGCAACTTAGGTAACTATACTTAAACATCATACTTCACCCAGGTGATTAATCACAGCACATTAAGACAACCGTTTTGTATTACATGTTTTCTGCATATTTCTGTTTAAATATGCAAATGAGGCACTATCTCATTGGATAGATCTTGATGGTGGGGTGATCCGCCCAGTACTCGCCCTTATATTCTGTGCTCTGAGAATCAATACAGTCATGCAGAACATTTACATCGTCAACAAACTACAGCAGCAGCAAAACATTTCCAAACACATACTGTCGGTTTTCTGCAGTCTGAGCAAATGACTCTATCTATCAGCTGGTGCAATAATTGTACCTTCTCTAATTCCTTCCAGTCATAATTGGTGTTTCCTATGACCATGGCCTGCAGTTCACTGGGCTGGAAAAGCTCTAGAACTTTCCCTCCACACACTTTGTGAAATCCAGCATAGAAAGCGCTGAACTGAGGAGCCACGGAGGTGTTAAATTTATAAACGACATAGGCGTTGACGAACTCCTGCCTGGATAGGTTGAATAGGTGACAAAAACCATTTAATGCTGTGCTCAACTGGAATTTATATGTGAACTCAAGTCAGTCAGTATTAAACAACAGTTGTGGTGAGTGCATGTTAATATTACAGTGCATATATTACCTGTTGGACTTGTTGACACTGATGTCCGTCCCATTGGGAACCAGCTCCAATACCTCCGTGGTGCCAAAAATTTCCTCAGTGATCTGCGATCATAAAATAAAACTGACTCCATATGCATGTTTTTTTTTTTTTTAATGAATCACGCTTTTAAAGACGGACATCATGCACAAATATCTTGTTCTTACGGTGAAATTCAGGCAAAACGCTTCTTCCAAATCATCCTCTGTATAATCCAGCAGCTGCTGAAGACTCCTGAAGACCCACAGAGAAAACCATAAATTGAGGATCACATCTAATCTAAAAACATCACTCTCTTACTAAAACGGGTTGCATCACCTTTTCCAAGATTATTACTTAATCCTATAAAGCCTACTGTATAATATTTGATACGCACATTCACACAAGGCCTCTACTACATGTCTTCTGATGCGAGTATCAAATATGATCATCAGACTTTTGAGGAGCGTTTATTTGTTCATCTCTCAATCATCATTGGATTGCATTGCATTGCAAAGCATCTAAATCTCATCTTACTAAGACATATTATTGGAGATATAGAGTGACGAATTTGATTACCAGAAAAATTAAAATACACAACACAGAATTTCTGAAAAAATAAAACCTTTTATATATTGTAAAAAAAATTATTAAATTAATTAAGTTGTTTTTATGAATTCAAATGATTAGACATGCTTTTTTTTATTATTTATTTGATTACTAAAATGGAATCCAAAAAAATTTAAATAAAATACTTGGTAAAAAATAAAACAGAAATGGGGGGGGATTGTATTTAATAGGGCCCTAAAAATTAAATTTTTATTAAACTTTCAATAAATTGTTGTTAAATTGTGTAAGTTTCATGATTTCAAAAAATTGGACATGCTTTTTTGATTGCTAAAATTAAATTTCATCATTTAAACCAGAAAAATTAAAAAAGAAAAAAAGAATCCAGAAAAATTAAAACGGAAAAAATTGAATTTAGGAAAAAATAAACAGATTTCATAGGGCCCTAAAAGACTTCAGAATTTTTTTCTTTAAAGACATTGTGCGTGGGCATTAGTGCTATTTTACTGTACCTTGTGAGCGAACCAGATGAGCCTGGACTCCTCGTAGTATCTGAACATCCCATATTTAGGGTCCAAGAGTTCTTTCATGATGAGCAGGAAGAACTCTTTTCTCACGCCGCCAGCATCCACGGCCTCCTCTCCCACAACGATCACCTGCAAAATAATACAATTAAAAACCGCAGAAGCAGCACTGAAGATGCATAGATCAAGACTAACTCATTTACCTTGAGCGGCTTCTTGTAATCAACGTTTTTGGACTTCCTCAGCACCTCCATGGAGTCTCCGACCACGTTTTCTCGGCGTACGATGAGGATGAGGCAGGGGTTTACTGACTCCACTCCTCCACCGGACAGGAACAGAGAGTGTAAGTTCTGTCTCTGAGCATGATCCACCGCCATCTGATCACAAACAGCACTGTCAGCTCACCGCGGTAAAACATGATGTCAAATCTTGAGATGAGACGATCACTCTCACCTGCATCTGGATCACAGCATCAGTCTGAAGCAGTGCTGTTTTCGCCTGAGCGTCAAAAACAAATGGGTATTTGCACATGGTCACCTGAGAGTCCATGACCTTTACAAAACAGACAACGAGAGGAAAACGTTACTGTGACTGTGAATTTTGACTACCCTATTTACTGGTATTTAAGTTGCTTTTTTTTTTTATCATCTGAAACGTGTTGCAACTGATATAATACAATAAACAGCAAGCACACAAACATGTGCAAATTGCAACCGGTTCATCATGTCACTAAAACGCATTTAGCCAAACAGAAGCAAACATATTGAAGTACATAGCCGTGTTTACAGAATTAATAATAATTTAACAGCCAAATATTACATCGCCAATATAAAAACATTTGAATTTGTGCCGAGATATGTGAACCCAAGTTTATTTGTATAGCGCATTTCCCACATGCCACTCATAATGAATTCCTTTAAAATTGAGCTTTATTTATACTTATATTTTTCATTCTTGTTCTTTTCTGAATACAGTTAAATTTAAAGGATTTATTGTAGAAGGAGGGGAACTAAAATACATGTTACTTATATACAGGTGCAACTTAACTATGTTTTTTATCTCTCAACAATGCAACAATACAAAGTTTGTATTCAGGTGTGAGTTATTTTCTGGAAAATACGGTGATTAACAGATTTAAGGTGGCAGAAAAGTGTCATTTTAAAACCCCTAGTGGCATCAAACAGAACAACCAAAATAATAGTAAGTTTCAAACATGAGCCCATTCAGTTTGGTGCTGTTAGTAAGCAAAGGAATTACACACTTCACATTTTAGGTACTATAAAAGATCATAAAATTCAGAAGTGTATAATTACCTTTGAACAATGCAGAAAACTCACCACAGAGAACATCTGCTGCTGAAACCAGGTGACATAATCATTCCTGATGTCAATGAGCTCATCCAGCTCATGAATATAAAACTTGTCATACTGGATGATCTGGCCAGCATGCTCATTAACCTGCAGCACGACAATGAGAATAAGAGCAAAAAATTACAAAAAAAAAAAAGTGTCTTCTGCATTTCTCCTCTTCTCTAGCTGCTTCCGAATCTAGTTGCCTAATGAAGCTGCAATTGTGCATTATGACTATCGTTGGGTCTTTTACAAATAGCTTTGGATAAAAGCATCTGGCTAAATGCCTAATCGTACAGTAATATTACAGAATTTCCTATTTCAGAATCAAAAGACAGACATGAATAAAATTATTCATGTTTCTGGTGAATGTTAAGTACATCACCAGATAATGTAGTAAATGATGGTATATATTTCTAAATGTACTATGATTTGGGACACACTAATTCTAATTTTATCATTTAGGACATATGTTATGCAAATTGGGATGTGGCCAATGTCTACTATCACTAACTGTGGTGCTCACCGAGTGGAGGATCTCCAGGAATTTGAGTGAGGTGTGCAGGAAGCAGGTGAAGATCCTCTGGTCAGAAAGAGGAATTCCCAGTTTCTGCATCCGCAGTAGATACACCACCACCTCCTTATAGAGCTCCACCAGCCTCTGGAAGACCGCTGGCTCAAACTTTGACCACCAGTTTCCTTAATAAGTGTAGTTGTGAAAAATGAAATACTTTGGAAATACCTACCAATGTGCAGAAGTTGACCATTGCCTATTGTACACTATTAGTGCACTACACATGGTAAATGTGGCCATTGTGTACATATATGCAGTTGCAAACTTGTTTTTTTTTTTTACTTCAATAAACAAAACCTAGAATGTAAAGGTCCAACTGGTCTGGAAATTTTCCTAGGCAAGAGAAGAAGTCTTTCAAAGAAGTTTGTGAAGTACATTTGTGGTTCCATTAATGAAGGACAGTCTAAAAATGCTTCACGTTATATACAGCCTTTCTGTACACAGCTACTGAAAGATACAGAATATGTTTGGTAAAATACCAAATGCCAAGAAATTCTTTTTGTTAAACATTCAAATATGAACATTTGTCATCCTGTTATAATTATATAAATTGAGCAGTAAAAATATTTGTTGACAAATATATGCCAAGTGCTGATTTTGGCCAATCGAAATATTGTTCGGTGCTGTACAAGAGCCATAATGAAGCCTAACAAACAAAACTCCTGTCATAGAAGACGGGACGTACCGAGCACTTTGATGGGGGCGTCCTTCAGGTTTACGATGGCCTTGGCGAAGGGAATAGTGAGGGTGGTGTAGTTGTTGGGGTTGCTGAGGAGCGGACACTCGGGCAGCGTGAGGTAGAGTCTTAGAGCCTCGATGTCTGGAGGAGAACTGCTCAATCTGGGGAGGAGATGCTTCTCCATACTAGCAGCCACCTGGATTAGGATTAACCCATGCATTGGTAACAACAGTAATGATGGGCACTTAGGAATAGTTCACCCAAAAATTTAAGTTTGCTGAATGAGTCAGGTCATGCAAGATGTAGATGAGCTTGTTTCTTCATCAGATTTGGAGAAATGTAGCATTGCATCACTTGCTCAGCAATGGATCCTCTGCCGTCAGAATGAGAGTCCAAAAACCTGATAAAAACATCACAATAATCCACACCACTCCAGTCCATTTCTCCAAATCTGATGAAGAATCAAACTCATCCTAATCTTGGATGACCTCAGTACATTTTCAGCAAATTTTCATTTTTGGGCGAACTACTCTTTTAAAGTTAACGTATGTCTTCTGAATGCCATAAACAAGTGACTCACAATTTGTGAGATTTGTGGGTAATCGGACTGGATGAGTCTGTGGTAGAGCAGGCGAGCCATGTTGATGTCCACACCTGAGCACTTACTGTTAGTGTTGTAGTGATCTGGATTACTGCAAAACAAAACACTCATTTGAGAAATGATCTTCAGCTATTTATAAGGTTTCCACAGAGCAATATTTTGTATTGAATGCATAATGGTTTAGTTACCTTCCAGACAGAAAGCTTCCATTGAGACAACTCGCTGAAGAGAACACAAGATCAATCTCACTACAAGAGACACCAAACACACATCATCAGTATGATGGACTGCTTTATGAAATTCTTAGATTTGAATTCAGGTTACATAGTCACACTTTATTAGATCAGACTGAGTTTCATCTAAACGACGAGTTCACCCAAAAATAAAAATTCTGTCATTAATTACTCACCCTCATGTTGTTCCAAACCCCTAAGACTTTTGTTAATTACGCTCATTCATGAACACAATTGAAGATATTTTAAGTGAAATCAGAAAGGTTTCTGTCCCTCTATTGACAGCCTAAGTAACTTTCACTTTGAAGTGACAGGAATGCTTTTTGTTTGCCAAAAAAATAAAAAAATAACAACTATATTTAACATTTTCTTCACTTCCACTTCAATCTCCAATGCACGTTCACGAGAGCTGCTTCTTCTTCTCCAGTCCTCGAGAGCACCACGATTCATGCGTGTTGTGTTGACGCGAGAGAGCGACTCTTACGATACAGCCTGTACCAGAAACACTGTACTGTTTGCAAGCAGAGTATGTGGTGATTTCATTTAAAATATCTTTAATTGTGTCCTGAGGATGAATGAAAGTCTTAGGGGATTGGAACAACATGAAGGTGAGTAATTAATGACAGAATTTTCATTTTTGGGTGAACCATCCCTTTAATGTAATAATGAATAAAAAGTATGTAAAAGCAGTACTTGGTGATTTCTGGTGATAGTCTCCCATGGCCATGATTGAGCCATTTCTGGATGAGGTCATCGCTGAGAGTGTATATCTGTCCATCAGGTCTGGTTGTCCTCAGATCAACTGGAGGGCTGTCGTCCTACAGCAATACAGCTGAGTCATTTAAATGGGAACATCAGCGAACAGCAAATCGCTACAAAGAGAACTGTACAAACAAGGGATGTGCCCGATTAGTGAATCCGAATACGGAAAGGCACAGAAACTGAATAACGTGTTCTATGGAGCCACTAAAGGGACATGGTAAGCCGCTTGCTAGCGGTAATCTGTTACAGTACATAAAATTTAAATTACCACATAAACAGAGTAAGGAGAGATGACTGATAGGACAATGGCGAATGATTTGAAGATCCTGAGCACCACTGACAAAAATCTAATCTTGTGAAATATGTGGTAAGTACTGCTGCTCCGTAGTATACACAGAGTACGTGTGATCGTGAATCTCGAAAGTGAAAGTAAAAAGCGAGTGCACATTCAAAAGCGATTTCAATGCCCCGCATATTAATAGCGACTTCCTGATGCCCGCAGTTTATATACAGTATAATTACCCAACGATATACTTGCCAGAGAATTTTTCCTCCCATCTCGTATTTATTCCCTTTAGGGCTTCTGTAGAACACGTTATTCGTTTTCTGTGCCTTTCCGAATTTGGATTCACTATTCGAGCACATCCCTAGTACAAACTAACACATACTAAACATTTTTGAAATACATTTCCCAGTTTTGGATGCTGATGTGTTATGTTACCAAGTTAAACAGAATTTGGGCTGAATGGAAATAATTACACATCCAGATAAATACAGTATCTGTGGATTGTTCTTTTACCATATAATACCATAAAACAAATACAAACTAGACAGTTGTTCCCCTTTCATTCTAGTAGCGTCACAGAAATATTAGTGTTAATATAAGGATCTCACTGGATATTGTTAAGCAGTTGTGTAATGTTCAAACTTTGGTCCTTCATTCACTGCAAATATGATTTTAAGGCAAAATGAAATTCAAGCTAACCTTATTTTCTTTCTAATCAAACGTTCCTGGTGTTACTGCACACAACACATCAGTACATACTGCTCTGGAAAAGCAATTTTTCATACTGTGTCATCTAAATGTAACAATTTTCTGAGGTAACAAAGGCTGTGTCGATGGGGAAATAATATTAACAAATACTACAGCTTTATTTATAGCACTTTTCATTGAAACAAATCATGATAGATCAAGCCTTGTCCGTATATTTTATAAAAATGATATACAATAATTATAATAGTAAAAATATAATAATTAGAATAATTCATATATAGATTCCTCTGGCAGCCTTTAGCTTGACATTTGACCTCTGCTCCTCATACCTGAGATAAAGCGTAGTGAGCGAAGCTCTGGTCTCCTCCAGCGTAGATCCTCTTCACACAGTAACTCTGTTCCGCCTCTGAAATGGACAACCCAGTCAAATCTGAAACATTGAAACATGGGTTTTTCTTGGGTGAGTCTCAATCAGCTCCATGAATGAGTATACTGATTCACAGTATACACACTGGGGCACTGATGAGTGAACAAAAAACTAATGTACAATACTAAAGTGCAACTCAACTCTATGTGATCTAGAGTTACATTTGTGCAGAAGAGTAGGGCTGGGCGATATGGTCAAAAAAATAATCTCTGTATTTTCTGGCTGAATTGCGATATATGGTATATTTATCGGCATTTTCTATGTTTTTCTATTTGGATAAAAAAAAAACTATTTATTTATTTATTTATTTAAATTCTGCCCAATGTTGTCCAATGAAACAATGTACATATCAAAGGCTATGAAAACAAATAAAGTGAATGTAACCATGAGGGCAATGCTACATATTATGTGTGAAAAAGGTTAAAATTACATTACATTCTAACATCGTAAGCAACAGTTAAATTCACTAGAGCCCGACCGATATGTTTTTTTTGGGGGCCGATACCGATATTTGGGAGTAAAAAAAAGGCAGATTTCGATATATCGGCCGATATTCTTCATCTACAGTATCAGGCAAAAGTTTGGACACTTTCCCATTCGTGTGTCCAAACATTTGACTGGTATTATATATAGAATACAGTATATACATAAACAAATTTTTTGCAATGATCTCTCAAATGTGGTGATCAAACACTTATAATGACCTGACAAAGATATGTAATGATGGAGGCAGGGCATTTAACAATTTAATAATAAACTTTATCCAAAATGAGTCTGACATCAGTGCACTGAACAGAACAGTTGAAGTTTATTCAACTTTAATTCAATTCAATTCCATTCAACTTTATTCCGTTGAAGTTTATTTCACTTTGGAACATTCATTCACGGATTTGCGCTACTGTCTTCACACACAGACGAAACTTACTAGAGAAGTGTGAAATAATTTACCTCTGTAAATAAATATAAATTCACGTCTCGCGCAATTTAATGCCCTTTGAATGTAACGTGTATGTTCCCTTGGAACTGGAATCATGGCGGAATATCATGTGAAGTCCACTTCGCAGGGCACTTACGGTCGAATAAGACAACGCTTGAATGCTGCCTGAACAAGAGACCTCCTTACTGAAGTGAAAGTGTTGGCTGGTTGTCACTATCTCGCGAACGCGCCGGCGGATCTCCACCAAATTCGGGGGATCCCTTCAGCTCGAGGAGCCCTCTCGAACGCCAGCCTCTGCGCATCGGTAGCCCCCCGGGATCGCTAGATCGGTCGGCGACAGACTGCGAATTTAACCGCCCGTAACTTCCGAACCCCGGCGGTGGTCTCATTCGAAAAAGGGGCCTCGAGATGTACACTCGATTCGCGTTCGAGAGGGTTCCTCGAGCTGAAGGGATCCCCCGAATTTGGTGCGGATCCGCCGCGCCGTTACAGAGATATGGCCGTTCAAAGTTTCAATGGTTTTTAATAGACTTAAGCTTTAAAGCGTTTCATCCAGGTCGCCAGTAGCAAACAATGGAGGGCGCTCTGCTGGACAAACTAAGCAATTACACCATTTCAAGCATTTTATCTGCGTTATATGCTTTGTAAAAAAAAATTTCATATCGGTGGCATATCGGCAGCATATTAGCCGATATCGATATATCGGCGACAGGCTCATATCGGCCGATAATATCGGCTAAACGATATATCAGTCGGGCTCTAAAATTCACTAAACTAAAAATGAAAATAAATTAAAAACAAATGCACAGACTAATTGCATTATATTTTGCTTTCCCCTTTTCAACAGTCACTTCACAGTTACTGCTATCATAAAATACTCTTACTTGTAGGTTTAAAATTATACATATGGCACTTGTATTATTCAACAACAAATATTTTAACTAAATGTATATTTTAGTCAGAATTATTGAGCATGTGCGGCGGCATTCGTTCGCTCAAGTCTGTGAAGTTTAGCAGAGACTCGCATGCAGAAGAATCATGCACTCCTGACAGCAAATTGGAAATATTTCCATGACTTTCTAACACTTACAGATACATACCTGTGAAATGTAAGTTATTCACTGAAGAATTGAACAGTGCAAGTAGCCTATCTGTCAGCACATGTATCTGTCAGAGCGTCTGATGGGGCAAACCGCTTTAAACTATACATGTTAACTATATCTTATGAGTTATTTTAAAGCCCTTAATATAAGCATGTCTCATGTTCAGGACTGGATTATGCACTTTCCCCGCAGCAGCTCACTCTGTGTCTTCTGCTATTTTTCAGATGGGCTTGTATCAAACTCTATATAAATGGTATTGCCTCATTCCATACTGTTTATAAATAATATATCGATATAACGTACAAACTCGATATACCGTCTAGCCCTAGAGAAGAGTCATTTGATTTACTGACTTTAACATTCATAAATTGTATTACATGCATGGCCATCAGCATAATGATTAAGTCAATACAATGCACACTTTTGAGAAATACTGAGAAGGACAGCTGTCAAAGATATTAATTCTGTTGAAAGACGTAATGTGCACAAAGTCAACCCACCTACATCCATAGGCACAGGATCAGTATGGGCTTGCCAGCAGCCCTTCACAGGGGCGGGACTTATCCTATTGTAGGTCGAGCGGGTTCCTAGCTGTCCGTTACCACCGAGACCAAATGAGTCAATCTTTCCTGATGAAGGGATCAACGCCAAAGTGTGCTGCCTTACATGCAGGTGAAAATGAAAGCAATCCAATGTTCTTCATGATAAGAAATACAAGACTCTTGGAAGTAGTCTCAAGCTTTCATATAGAAAACTAAGACAGACATAAAATAAAACAATGATTATGGACTGTTTGATACTTACCTACCACAAGCTATCTGTGCAACCACATTCCCCATGAGTTCAAACACCTTCCTGGGGTTCACCTCATGGTGTGTGGTGTTGTGTCCCAGCTGACCATAACCACCCGCTCCAAATGTAAAAACACCTCCCTCCTACAAAAACAAAGTTACAAATGACTAATCATGTAATTTTCTGCCTGTGGAACAAAATTTTGTGAGCGGTCGCACTGGTGCAACCACCAAAAGAGCTGCTATTTCTGTTGCATATGTGACCCTGCAGCACAAAAGCAGTCTTAAGTCACTGGGGTAAATTTGTAGCAATAGCCAAAAATACATTGTATGGGTCAAAATGATTGATTTTTCTTTTATGCCCAAAATCATTAGGATATTAAGTTAAATGCAAAGACTTTAAGCATTAAGGTGAAGAATTAGGTATTAGCCTAATAATTATGCAAGCACTGTACTATATAGCACATCTCAACTGCTTGTATCATCACAAAATATAAACTATACCATTGTCCAGCTCTAACCTGCTAAATGTGATTAAGGCATTAAGATATTATAAACATTAAAATCATTTTCTGTAAAGTGGCTTTGTGTATTGCGAAAAGTGCTATACAAATAAACATGACTTCATCAAAACCATGGTCATTCCTTCTTTTGGATGTACAGCATTAAATATGTCATAATAAATTACATAGTTGCTTATTAAGAACTTAAAATAAGCAACCATACCTTCGTTAGTGCTGCCGTGTGGTCCTCTCCACAGCATATGTAAACAACCCGTTGGGACCTGAGAGTCTTCAGCAAGGCAGGGAAATGGCGATCTGAAGAACACCACGAATCCCAACATAAAAGAGGCAATACTATTGTAATATTGAATACTTATAGTGGTTTAAAGGTGCAGATTTTTTTTACCTGGGTACACGGATACAATCCTCTATGTTTGAAAGGCCGAGCTGCCCGTCTGATCCCAGACCCCATGTAAAAACTTGTCCCTTATCATTCAGAGCCAGAGTATGAGCTTCACCACAAGACACGGCCACAATGTTCTGAGCATCCAGAGACACAACCTGCTCTAGAGAGGGGATGTAAACATATAACAGTGTTGTGTGAATTATACAGATGCACTACATGATACACTAGCCAATATATTGTGTATATTCTAATATGCTGCATCTGCTACAGCAAAATTCATTTGATTAATACAAAGTTTGTCCTTTGTCTTATAGAAAGTTAATTTTATTTGACAATATTTGTTGTCTGTTTTTAGTCGTTTTGATCCTTTAGCAGTGATGCAAATAAAGGACCCATCAATTCAAACCATCTTGTTGATTATATGTGACCCTGGACCACAAAACCAGTTAGTGTTGTCAAAAGACCCGGTACTTCGGTACCAAGTCGGTACTAAAAAAATTAAACGTTACGGTACCAGGTTTTTTTTAAGTACCGGTGGTACCCGGTCAATCCGAAAGGTGCGCAGATGCGACATCAAAACGAGGAAACACACCAAACTAACAAAACACTTTAAAGACAGACACCCGGATCAAATGAAAGAGTTCAAGCAGGTAAGTTTCATTTTAATTTTTCATATTTAGATCAGTGTTTTCCGTACATTGATTTATTTGTGGCGGCCTGCCACAATATCAAAACTCACCACCACAAATAGATTTTCCAAAAGGCCTTGACTTCGTTGAATAAACATGAGCACTGCACGTGTCAAAGTCGAAACCCCATGCGGGTGTTTTTATATCTCTGTATTTCTGAAGGAAACCGACTGTCTTCAGAAAACTATGGATGTCATTTTCATTTCATCTTGCCTGTAATGCCTGAGCAGCGTTTGTGAGCTGAGCGCTGCTTTGTGTGCAGCCGTTAGCGGGAAAACCTCGATCTCTTCCGCTCTACAAGCGCCTCCTGCTGGCAGAGAATGATTTAGCATATATACATGCCGCCACAAATAGAGTGCAAGTCTGTGGGAAACACCGCTTCTGTTATGAATATTATTTAATATTTTAATTTGAATGTCAGTTGAAATGAACGCTGTTATTAGAGTAGTTAATCGTTAGCATAAGCGCGGCTAACGCTAATATAATGAGCATTAGAATTAAGTTTCTTTATTAACTATTTAATGCTCCTATAACTTTTATTAGGGTAAAAAAAAAAAACACAACAGGAGGACATGATGATATTTACTATTTTTACACACTAGAGGCTTTTAAATGAATTGTGAATCTAAAATAGGCGTGTTAGAGAATGTACAAATGGTTAATATTGTTTGTGTCATACCAGTCAGAAAAGCAGTTCTGGGCTTTTTTTTTAATAAAATTTTTTTTAGCTAACTTAGTTGTTATTCTTGGCTGAATAACTCTAGGTTTTCAAAAGCCCTTAAAAAATTAAATATGTACACAGTTTGGATTAAATGAAAGTATAGTAATTTTTTTTAATTTGCATGTTTTTGTGTTTTGCTTTGATACAGAGAACCGAGGATTTTCACTGGTATTGGTACCGAATACTGAAATTTTGGTACCGTGACAACACTAAAAGCAGTGTTAAGTCGCTGGGGGATATTTGTAGCAATAGCCAACAATACATTGTATGGGTCAAAATTATAGATTTTTCTTTTATGCCAAAAATCATTAGGATATTAAGTTAATATTGTTTGTGTCATACCAGTCAGAAAAGCAGTTCTGGGCTTTTTTTTAATTAATTTTTTTAGCTAAATTAGTTGTTATTCTTGGCTGAATAACTCTAGGTTTTCAAAAGCTCTTTAAAATTAAATATGTACACAGTTTGGATTAAATGAAAGTATAGTCAAATTTTAGTTTTGCTTTGATACCGAAACTGGTACTGGTACTGTATGGTCTGTGCTTGACACTTCTAGGTCATTGAGTTAGAGGTCATGTGACGTCTAAGGAGCCGACAGTTGTTAGAACAGCAGTCAATGTCACACTGACCGACCCGTATGCGTTTCTGCGAAACAATAGTATGCAGCCAAATCCATCAGATTGATTTCAGAGGATGTTGTGAAAGTACGGGCTGTTTCATTGATATAACCTAAAATAACCTAGGGTTTTTGAACAGGGAAATTTTTTTAAAGAAATTAATATTTTTATTCAGTAAGGATGCATTAAATTGATCAAAAGTGACAGTAAAGACAGTAATAATGTTACAAAAGATTTCTATTTCAAATAAATGCATTTCTATTCATCAAAGAATCCTGAAAAATAAAACGTATCCCAGTTTTCACAAAAATATTGTGCAGCACAACCGTTTTCAACATTGATAATAATCAGAAACGTTTCTAATAAAGCAGCATATTATACTGATTTCTGAAGATCATGTGACACTGAAGACTGGAGTAATGATGCTGAAAATACAGCTGCACATCACAGAAATACATTATATTTCACACTATATTCACATAAAATGTTTTTCAAATATATTCACATAGCTATTTTATATTATAATTAAATTTCACAACTTTTTTGTTGTATTTTTAATCAAATAAATGCATCCTTTAGGACAAAAATGGGACAAATTAAACATTTTACTTAGATCTTAAATACAAAACTAATTCAATAAATATATAATTCACAATATATGATATTATTCTCAGGGGATATTTTTAGATCAACATGGAATGCTGTCAAAAATGCACTTTACATAAAATTAACAAAAAAATTGAGGGCGAGGCATGATTTAATCCAGCAGGAAATGTTCAGATCATAAAAAGTGGGAGTACCGTATTGACCCGAATATAAGACGATGTTTTTTTCTTGGAAATACATCTGAAAAAACGTGGTCGTCTTATATTCAGGCTCTAGATAGGGCTGTCGCGGTGAGGGAATTTGCCTTGCGGTAATTTTGAGTGGCTCAATAGCGCGGTATGCGGTATTACCGCCATAAATATAATTTGTGTGTATGTGTTACGATATAACTAACGAGGTCATATTCAGAAGACAATGAAACCAAATAGTGTTGAAACAGGAAGTGAAGTAAACAGAAGAGAATGACAAAATAACGGTGCACATAACAGAACATAAACCTGACAATAAGATCGTTAGGCTATCGTTAGCCTATATGTATAACAGTTAGCCTAGTTGTAATCTGATCTTCTAATCTGACTGGACAAGAGACCTATTGATATTTCCACCTGCGCGCATTCTAGACGGCTGTCAGGCAGTGCAGTTACAGTGTTGTGCCACAAGGTGGAGGAAAGGGACTGTCGTAATGAAACACGCTGTTGAAATCGTTTTAACTTTGAGCTCCACTTTAGAAGCTCTGCTGCCCAGCTATGCGTTGATGCTAAAACAGAGATTTGGCTTTCCTTGGACATGACAACCTATTTTCACAAATATTTATGACTCGGCCTGGAGGACAGACGCAAGTAATCGCACGCGCTCAGTCGATCTCTCTCTCATTCACGGTCTGTTTAGGCTTGTTAAGTGCAACTCTACGGAGCCTCTGTACAAATCAGCATGCTACACATTATGTTATCATTACTAACTTGTTTAATATTCAGTCCACATGCATGAAGTGCAAAACGAGAAGGACATAACCTTACGAAAAAATAAAACACACAAAAATCGCGGTTGCTGCTGTTCTTGTATTCCTCTGCGGTTTGCTCGTCAATAGCGCGGTATTGCGATATTGCGGTTATCGCGACAGCCCTAGCTCTAGACGTTGACATGTCAATAATACACCCACAACACTAGGTGGCGCCAAATACGCATAAAGCGAGTGTGCCGTGAAATACGTAATGTGATGCGTGTTGTAAAGATCGTGAGTAAAAACAAAAGAAAAGCTTACAGCTGCATGAGTCGTGACGGTCACGTTAGCCTGATGGGACCAAACTCTTTGTGATTTTAAAATGTAAGACAGTACCCAGATTTGAAGACTACGGTAAGATTTAACTTCTACTGTTAATAAGATGTTGGTAGGCTACTATTAGATGGATAGCCTAAATGTCCTAATTCAGATGGGCTACCTGCTTTTTTTTTATGGTATATCAAAAAGTGCATATTTTTTTAAATGTGATTGTTGGTACATTTTACCAGTTTTTAATCATACTTTCAAAACAAAAATTTAAATAGGAAAAATATGCAATAATTGAAGACAAAATGTGTTTTCCTGAGAAAAAACAAGATTTGGTTTTTAAAAAGCCTTTTTCCAAAATGTACATCTGAAAAAAGGGGGGTCGCCTTATAATCAGGGTCGTCTTATATTCGGGCCAATACGGTATTAGAGAGGAACCACCTTAATATTACCTTATCAAAATGTTTAAATATATGACAGATTGATGACATCAGTCAGACTGATTTGAAGTGAATCATTCAAATCAATTAATTTAATTAAGATCAAGTAATTACGATAAAAGCCATAATATTCTAATGCTAGTAAAGTGTCTTTGCTGCCCTACCTGGTTTCTTGCGTGCTTTGTCATGCCCCAGCTGTCCCAGGTCACTGCAGCCGCAGGTGTACACCGTCCCGTCCTCCAGCAGAAAGACGCTGTGACGTCTGCCGCATCCCACATCCCTCACACGCTTGCCCTCGAAGAACTCGCATTTCCTCGGCTCCAGCACTATCTCCTCATCAATCCCACCCAAACCCAGCTGCCCGTACGAGGCATTCCCCCAGCACAGCATGACGAGTGACTCTCTTCCACAGGTGAAGACCTACAGTGAGTGAGTGACGTGACATGTGGCCAAGTATGGTGACCCATACTCGGAATTAGTGCTCTGCATTTATCCCATCCTAAGTGCACACACACAGCAGTGAACACACACACACCGTGAACACACACCCGGAGCAGTGGGCAGCATGCGTTCGACTCTCTAACCATTAGGCCACGACTGTAGGTCAGGTGAAGACCTACAGGTGAAGACTGCTTCTCTCACACACACACACACACACACACACACACACACACACTCTCTCTCACACACACACATGCACTCTCACTCACACACACACGCACGCACACACTCTCTCACGCAGACACACACACACTCTCTCACACACACACACACACACACGCTCTCACACACACACACACACGCTCACACACACACACACACACACACACGCTCACACACACACGCTCACACACACACGCTCACACACACACACACACACGCTCTCACACACACACACACACTCTCACGCACACACACACACTCTCACGCACACACACACACACACGCACACACACACGAGTTTGACGAAAGCAAACTCTTTAATGCAGCAGTAACTAGATGCTAATTATATTTTTTGTATTATTATTATTGATTGATTACTGATTGATTCGCTTATTAACAAACAGAAACAAATAGAAGAACCACCTCAAAAAGTTGCAATGACCTTATTTATTATTTATACTATTTATATATATAACTCTGAATTGTGTGGAAAAAGTGTCAAATATCTGAGTTTATATTGCAATTTTGGGGAAAAAGTCTAAAGTCAAAAATGGCGAAATGTAAATTCAGAATTGCAAAAAATTGAATTCTAAGAAAAAAAGTCAGAATTCTGAGTTTATATCTCGCAATTCAGTAAAAAAAATTTCCCATAGCTTCCATAGAAAGTGAAGTACTAAGATGTACCTTATTACATTATATATTATGAATCTTACTCACAGATTTTATATGGTCACTAAACTCTCTCTATATATATATATACACGCCACTATACTCTAAAATTAACTCAACTCACAAACCTGGCATGCACCATTACTTGACTGATGTCTGCTTACTAGGTTAGGTTATTACTAGCTTACAACACTAACCAGTAGCCTATACTATTACAGCTGTCACAGTTGTCAATGGGTGCCACGGTTTAAATAGATGCAAATGAAAGCGTGCAAGTTAGCCCCGCCCTGAAAAGAAAATTCACTGGAAATCTCTCTAGAAAGTTCAGTTTTTGGGAGGTGTGTCCAATAACATTTATTGCGTAACAGCTTTCAGTCAAAAACGGGTGCTACCACTTTAAGTGTTTGTTTTTATTTATACGCCAAATAACAACAAATGTAACGCTGTATCGAATTTTAAACCGCAAGCCACGTGAGATTTAAACGCCCTGAGCGCTGTGGCTTTAAATGGAATGTGTGAGAATGACCGTTAAAACGGTTGGTGTTTAAACGCAGTCCTGAGGGAATGTCAGCTAATTCTCATTAGCGCAAAACTATGTGTATTTGTTTTCAACGAGAGGCTTTCCAAATCAAATAAACCACACCTCACTACTGTTGTGCACGAATGTGTGCCTTAAATAAGAGCACAAACACATACTCCGTCAGTCCTAAATATATATATATATGGCATTAGTCCGCTATATTTCTGCACCCACACCCACTGACATGAATCTTGCTCTTACCTGTCGATGTGTGATATGATGCTCCTGTGGACGCGTCCAGCACAGGTTCAGGGTTTATGTTTACATGAACGTTAACGCAGATATGTGTTGTAATGTCATGACAGACTGAGAGCGCCAGCAGCAGGACGCGCTTAAACACACACACACACACACACACACACACACACACACACACACACAGCAGAATGAACGAGAAGCGACGGTAATATTCTAGAGCCTTTCCTGACACCGGATGTGACGACACACGCGGAGCTGCTGCTGCGGCGGGGTTAGAACGAAACACACAAATAAATTTAATAATTAATAATAATAATAATAATAATAATAATTAGCAACGGAGCTGCTGCGGCGGGATTAGAACGAAAAACACAAATAAATTTAATAATTAATAGTGTTCGGCAGCTGCATGTACTGATGCAAGGACATACTCTGACCCTGGACGGGATACACCATCTGTGCAGACTGAGCAGTCGACTGCGGGCATTTCTGCTTGTTTGCTTCCTTTACGTCACTGTCATGAGCACTGAGAGAGAGAGAGGGAGGGAGAGGATATCAGGGGCGATGTTTGTAGCGTCAAACTACCATTCAACTATAACACATTACTTAAAGTGAAACTGAATGAAAATGAGAAATGACGCCTTTGCAACTAGCTGAAAGTTAGTTAATGTTTATTTTATTTCAAGTAACAAAAAATGCTGAAATGCATGCAGTAAAGTTGCATATGCATCAATTCAAGTTGCATTCACATGCATTCTGAAGAGTTTGTATACATATGCATCAATAAAATTGCACTTACATGCATTCAGTAAAGATGGAAATACAACGTAAATGCATGCATTTACAGCTTTACTGTATGCAAGTAAATGCAACTTGAATGCATGCATATACAATTTTACTGAATACAACTTGAATTAATGCTTATGCAACTTTATTGAATGCATGTACTGTAAATGCAAATTGAATGCATTCAGTAAAGTTGTATATGCATCTATTCAAGCTGCATTTACATGTATTCAGTAAAGTTGTACATGCATGCATTCAAACTGTATTTACATGCATTCCATTTGTATGGCTTTCCTTAAGGATAACAACTCTGGGTGAAACTCACATTAGAAGTCTCTCCACGCAGGGCAGCAGCTGCTCCCAGGTGTACGCTGACAGACACTGGAGGCACGGAGGCCAGGTCGGACACAAATGCAAGATTACCCGTGAGGAGGCCACACACGCCGCAGCAACCAGGGACGGGACGAATCGCAGAAATGCATGGTCTTGACGGAGAAAGGAACATTTATTTATTTACTTTTTCATGCAAAAGAACAAAAACATTCTTATTCTGTATATCATGCAGTTCTTATACACTCACACCAACATTCAACAGGTGAAAATGCACTGCATCTCTGAATTAAACTCTGCACCTTGTAAAGAGACCTCTAAGAAGTAGTCAGCATATTTGGACATGTACAGCATGGTCTTCTCCATGCATACCATCGGCCAGCCGTCATGTAGGTCCGTCTCATTCACGGCGACCGGCAGGTAGTACTCTATGAAGTGAGCAGCTGTGGGGAGGTACAGGTTCCACTGAAACGTCTCGAGGAGCAGCAGCTCCATGTGCAGGAGACCCTGTTTGGTCAGAACCAGGTTCATAGAGCTCATGCAGCCCAGACTGTTCAGGGTCTCCAGCTTCGGAACGCGGTCTTCTCTCTCCTCAAACTTACCTGGATTAAAAACAATGGTTGCCGAGTGGTTATGGCAAAATGTTTTGTGGTGTGCTTTGTGCATCATACACAATAAGAGCAGGAATTATGTTTCAATCAATAATATGAGTATGACTCTTACTGGCTAAAAGCAAGCAGGACAGCGCAACCATGTGTAGCTGCTGTACTGAGATGTCATAGCGGTCCATGAACAGGTCCAGCAGATAAACAGCCAAGTGTCTGGCCGCAGGGCACAGCTTGAACCGGTTGCTGACTATAGCAATAAGGTCTGCGAAATATCGTCTAAGACTCAGCTGTGGAGACTGGCCTTTGTACGCAGGCAAGCGCAGCTCCTGAAGGACATCCAACGAGACAACAACACTGCATTTAATATGTTTTATAATACTGATTCATGCAATAATCAGTTGCACATGCATGCAATAGCCAAGTAAAGTTGCACATGCATGCAATCAAGTTGCATTTACATGAACTCAGTACAGTTGCATATGCAAGCATTAAGCTGTATTTACATGAATTCAGTAGTAAATGTAACCCGAATGCATGCATGTGCAAGATTAGTAAATTCTTGTAAATACAACTAAATGCTTGCATATGCAACTTTATGGAATTCATGTACAGTAAATGCAACTTGAATGGATGCAAATGCAAGATTAGTGAATTCCTGTAAATGCAACTTGAATGCACGCATATGCATGCATTCAGAACAGTTGAATATGCATGCATTCAAATGCATTTACATTATATCAGAACAGTTGCATATGCATCTATGCAACTTTATGGAATTCATGTACAGTAAATGCAACTTGAATGGATGCAAATGCAAGATTAGTGAATTCCTGTAAATGCAACTTGAATGCACGCATATGCATGCATTCAGAACAGTTGAATATGCATGCATTCAAATGCATTTACATTATATCAGAACAGTTGCATATGCATCCATTCAAGTTGCATTTACATGAATTCGGTAAAGTTGCCCATGTATGCAAAAAACAAATAGACAATTCCAAATATGACTATGACAATTACGTAATAATCGATTTGTGCAAGGCTCATTGTGCCTGCATGCATGACATCATAACACAAGGTCGGTGGCACCAAATAACAACACAATAACAGGAACACAAACTTTGTAACGCAGGGCCTGATAGATGTCCTCTGCAAGTTCTCCTTTCCACCACTGACCCTCCAGCTCCATTGGGCTCCTGAAATATACGAGACTGTATGAAGATCAGATCAGCTTCACTGAGCAAAAAGCACCTCAGTCCAATCCCCAAAACAAATCAAAGCTCCAGCAACAATCAGCACTGATGAAGGTGAGACCGCAGAAGGTCTTGATTGGTCCAGCACACTTCTCAATCAGGAGGAGAAGATCATTAAGTCTTCGTCAATGCGCACGATAGTTATTGGGTCAAACCAAGCAATGCATATCACAGGCAACATAACAAGAACCAATGTGCGGAATGACTTACTAGCATGCATAAACCTACTGTCCAGCAAAGAGGCAAGTGAAATACAGAATAGCGCTACAAGCGTGACTTTTAAAGAAGAAAAGCAGATCAAGAAAACGTTTCAGTGTTTTGACTCAGTAAAGAACTCACCCCACACAAGGACGCCTGCATGCAGACAGTACAATGAAAAGTAGCAGCCGAACAAACTTATAATCAAAGCAAAGCTTACGCTCTGTGTTCAAGAAACAAAGTAACAACTCACTGCACGAGCGCTTTGACAATCTCAGCCAATCAAAAGGCGCCTTACAATCACAGCGTGCAACCAATCAGAATTAAGCTTTAGCAGATCTACTAATCTACTAGTCTACTAATCACAGAATTGCACAGAAAAAAAAGAGGTGGGAACATGGATTGCAACCGATACCCGAGAAACACAAGTTTCAGTAACAGCTGTTTGTAAAGGAACACCTTTTAACCCAAATAACTGAGCCTGCTATAACACGACCTCACCACTAGAGGCCGCCCTCTCCTCAATAATGATCACAGCATTAGGAACTACACTACTTAACTTCTGTTTATTGCTATATTATAACTTGTTTTAAAAACGTTAAAATCAACAGCACATTCCTACTGGTTATTGGTTTTATGTGTTTTGTCATGTGCATTTCATTAAAGCATTTAAAGAGCAGATTTACTTGTTTTAGTTGGACACAGTGCAACAATAAAGAAATGAGATGTGTTTTATAGCCTACATTAGAAGCAGGACTGGTACTATAGTGCAGGAATATCATTACAAACTGTTACTAAATATTGATTTTTGTATTTTTATTTAATTGAAACCTAGAAGTGATGCTATTAAGTTAATTTGCACCAAACAGAAATGTTCTACAGGATGGAAATCCTTGTGTACTTAATTGGGCAAATGCTTTTATTCAGCAATTTACAGAAAAGACATTATTACCCGTACTATTGAAATTCAGCTGCACATTTTAATTACATTTTGTTTTCTTTGAAATGCACAAACAATACAAGTTCATTTGATTTTAAACTCTGCACCTTGTAAAGAGACCTCTAAGAAGTAGTCAGCATATTTGGACATGTACAGCATGGTCTTCTCCATGCATACCATCGGCCAGCCGTCATGTAGGTCCGTCTCATTCACGGCGACCGGCAGGTAGTACTCTATGAAGTGAGCAGCTGTGGGGAGGTACAGGTTCCACTGAAACGTCTCGAGGAGCAGCAGCTCCATGTGCAGGAGACCCTGTTTGGTCAGAACCAGGTTCATAGAGCTCATGCAGCCCAGACTGTTCAGGGTCTCCAGCTTCGGAACGCGGTCTTCTCTCTCCTCAAACTTACCTGGATTAAAAACAATGGTTGCCGAGTGGTTATGGCAAAATGTTTTGTGGTGTGCAGGAATTATGTTTCAATCAATAATATGAGTATGACTCTTACTGGCTAAAAGCAAGCAGGACAGCGCAACCATGTGTAGCTGCTGTACTGAGATGTCATAGCGGTCCATGAACAGGTCCAGCAGATAAACAGCCAAGTGTCTGGCCGCAGGGCACAGCTTGAACCGGTTGCTGACTATAGCAATAAGGTCTGCGAAATATCGTCTAAGACTCAGCTGTGGAGACTGGCCTTTGTACGCAGGCAAGCGCAGCTCCTGAAGGACATCCAACGAGACAACAACACTGCATTTAATATGTTTTATAATACTGATTCATGCAATAATCAGTTGCACATGCATGCAATAGCCAAGTAAAGTTGCACATGCATGCAATCAAGTTGCATTTACATGAACTCAGTACAGTTGCATATGCAAGCATTCAAGTGCATTTACATGAATTCAGTAGTAAATGTAACCCGAATGCATGCATGTGCAAGATTAGTAAATTCATGTAAATACAACTAAATGCTTGCATATGCAACTTTATGGAATTCATGTACAGTAAATGCAACTTGAATGGATGCAAATGCAAGATTAGTGAATTCCTGTAAATGCAACTTGAATGCACGCATATGCATGCATTCAGAACAGTTGAATATGCATGCATTCAAATGCATTTACATTATATCAGAACAGTTGCATATGCATGCATTCAAGTGCATTTACATGAATTCACTAATCTTGCATATGCATCCATTCAAGTTGCATTTACATGAATTCGGTAAAGTTGCCCATGTATGCAAAAAACAAATAGACAATTCCAAATATGACTATGACAATTACGTAATAATCGATTTGTGCAAGGCTCATTGTGCCTGCATGCCCTCTATATGGTCGTTATAAACAGTGCTGAATCATGTGTGTTGAAAGAGGAAGAAGCACGTGCTGTCTTTTTAGAGCTGTACTTTTCTGTGCACATCAAATCTGTCGCATTAATGAAAGAAAGCTTGTTTCACAAACTGAAAGCATACAGCTAGGCATTAATGCATCGATGCAATGCATGCAATTTAGACAATGCAATTAGACATTAGTATGATGTGGCATGCAGGTAATGCATTATTGTCATGGGCTTGAGCTGCTGTTGTCCCCGGATTGAACTGTCATGGCTGCCGCGCGCTGTTGACTGGTTCTGGTTGGACGGGAGGCGGAAAAGCGCTGTAAGTCTGATCGCCTTCGACACTTTTGCATGCACTTATATGCGTTTTCACAAATGCACGACATAAACTTTGGCTTTGTAGGAGAACTATAGTTTTATAAGTGGAAATGTAATGTCGCGCGCGCATAATGGCATGCAAGATATAGCAGTTCGAAACATGTTTGTTGGTCAACTTTACACAAGCAAGACTGCATAGCTGCTAAAGTAAACTCTTATCGCATGCATTTCTGCATTGCATTGCATTAAGTTTGTTCTGAAACGTTTTTAAAACTTTATAACACGTTCATTGCATTGTGACACGGGGAGTTAGGCAACTGGACCACAGGTGCAAACTGATTGTAACATTACTTTATTTAACTTGTTCAACTCAAGGTGCATGCTTAGTATATGCTAGCGGGTTATATTTGATTAATTGCTTACATTTGATGTCTGTTAAGTTGCATGGGTCAGTATGCATGTGTGTGGAAAGATGTGAGGAAGACTATTAAACACTCATGTAGTAAAACTATGCTTATAAAGCAACACAATACCATGGTGCTTTGATGTTGAAAGACTATCACATTACAATGGAATTTACAAGGTGGTCCAAGTGTATTTCAAAGAATACCGTGGTATTACCATGGTACATGTTCAGAAACCCTTAGTACTGAAGTCATTTATTTGTTACACACATGATGCATAAGCAGTAAATTGCTTTAAACTAACCCTAAAAAGTGATCATAGGAATCAAGTTTAGGAATGAAAGTTAAAATGTAAACGGATAACAAAAGGAGGGCTATGTGTCTGAGTACACTTAATAAACGTAAGCGAAAATATACTATCATGATACCATGTATGGTACTACCATAGTACAGAGCATTGAATGCACACTTAAAAGTAGGTTCATTCAAGCGTACTGAATTGTATTAATTGAATTGAATTGTAATAAAGATGTTGTAGTCTTGGTTTAGGGTAACTAAGTGAAGGTTATATGAATATAACATTTCAAAGAAGGCCAACGGTTTTCAAAGACATTCACACAGTGTTTGTGACAGTATTATGGCGAGATTTTGATCGTAAACACTAGTTAATAATTCAATTTAGTGTCATTAGATGGCTTACACAGCATGCGTTATAATAATTACTCAAAATTCCAAGAGAAAATGTAATAAGTAATCGCAAAACACATATGTACTGTATGCACTGCAAAAAAATGATTTTCTGGCTCTGTATTTTTTATCTTGTTTTCAATATAAGTATCTAAATAATCTTAAATCAAGATACATTTATTTGAGAGGCAAAATTCTTTCAGACGAATCCAGTCGGAGTTATATTAAAAATTGTCTTTGATGTTTCAAGCTCTATCATTGCAGTCAGCGGGTGTTGCATTGCTTCAGTCCAAAAGAAGTTAAATAAAAAGCGCCCATGCATAAAAAAAAGTGTCTCGCTCGGCTCCGGGGGGTGAACAAAGGCCTCCTGAAAAATATCCATATTCAAAATGTAATAATCACTTTAATGTAGCTTGCGCCAGCAGTTGTACACTGAAGCAGCTCCGGACGGATGACGTATGAGGTCAGCTTTGCGCATGCGCCGCTCAGAAGTGACGAACGCGGAAGCGCAGCGGAGAGATCAAAAGACAACGGTCAAGAATTAGAAGTACAAAACGAGGATTTGTAAAGAAGAATGTCAGAGGATTTGGATATAAGCCAAGAGGAGACTGGTTTT